CTATGAATCAAACGTTGCTTATTTGTTTATCTTAATATCTTGACAAATGGAATATTTCCTCGTACTAAAAAAACGTATAAAAATCCGATCTAACTTGAGTGACATTTCATAGGTCAAAGGTTAGCTGGGGAAGAGGCTGTGTGTGTGTGTGTGTGTGTGTGTGTGTGTGTGTCTAGAGCCTTAATAATTATCCTGGGTTGCAACTAGCCTATGAGATGATGAGGTTATTAGCCAGTTTAAGTTCCATTACTGAGTTAAGACTTTGTTTATACTGTACCTAAGTTATTGGTGGAAAATTGATTATTAAATCGACTTTGTAAATATTAAAGTGTGGTTATTGGTTAGGTTAGGTTAGGTGTGGAAGACAGCTTTATAATTCATTTCAGTAATTCTGTAAGTTGTGTTATTTCAGCTAAATAATTTGTTATTAAACCATTTATTTAAAAAGTGAACCTCATAAATTCATTAACTCACTAAATTTATAACATTGAGGGAAATTTAACTTTTTTAACAGTATTTATTTATTTATTTATTTATTTTATTTATTTTTTTTGTCATTACCAAGTTGTTTATATTTTCAAGTTAATATTTGTATATGTATTAATAACAATGTAAATGTGTAATCAAGAGTGAACTTTTACATGTTGAACTGACAATTATACACCTAACCTAACCTAACCCAAACTTAACCTTAAAAACCTACTCTAACCTAACCTAACCTAACCTAACCAATCAACCAACCAACCAACCAACCAACCAACCAACCATCCATCCATCCATCCATCCATCCATCCATCCATCATCCATCCATCCATCTCCTACGTCCAAACCATAAACGTAAAACCGTAGTCTTCTCAATTCCCTATAATTCGTATTTGAAGTTATAGACATATGAGTGAAGTTCAAACGTCAAGAGATGGTTAAAGTTGGTCCTGGTAACCTAGCAACCAGCGTCAACAAACCACACGTTAGCTGACCACATCTTCTGGTGCCCTGGGAGATGAGGAGGGGAGACCAGACCTTTGTAGGGGAGAGGAGGAAAAGTCAAGGATACGGAAGGGAAATGAAAGGGATAGAGAGATAGAGTAAAGAGGATGATATGGTAAAGGGGAAAGATGAGATGGGACAGGGGAAGTAAAATGGGAAAGTAAGAGGAAGGGGAAAGATGAGATGGGACAGGGGAAGTAAAATGGGAAAGTAAGGGGAAAGAGTAAGGAAAAGTAGGGCGGTGGTGAAGGGTTTGTATAGTAATATGAAATAGTACTGAGGAATGGTCGTGTTAGGTTAGGTTAGGTTAGGTTAGGTTAGGTTAGGTTAGCTTAGCTACTTTAAATAGTGTTTACGCTCATTAAGAATTCGTTTATGTATGTATATTTCTGTCACATGTGGTCATCTTACACGTAAGTTCATATCACACACACACACACACACACACACACACACACACACACACACACACTTCCCTGGAGCTTAATTACTTTTTACATCTTACACAAGTCGAAAAGTTATGTTATTAAACTCATCATGATTTGATAATTTGACAGAAATACAATTGTTTACACTTAATGAATTTGGGTGAAAGTTGGTGGACACGAGTGGAGAAGGGAAGGGGGAAAGGAAGGGAAGGGGAGGAGTAGAAGATAGGGTGAGGGAGGGAAAGGAAGGGAGGGGGAGGAGGGAAGGGAGTGGGGAGGAGTTGATGAGAGAGAGAAGAAATGAAAGGAACTGAAGAGAGGGAAGGGAGAAAGGGAGGAGATGAGAGAGGGAAAGAGGAAAAGGAATGGAGGGAGGGTGGAGGAGACGGAAAGAAGGGGGGAAGAGGTATAGAAGAGATAGAGAGAAGAACTTGATTTTAATCTGAAAAGAAACTCTCTCTCTCTCTCTCTCTCTCTCTCTCTCTCTCTCTCTCTCTCTCTCTCTCTCTCTCTACCTACCATAGGCACCTTTATCCCACTGACAGCTGCCTCACCCCTCAGCCACACCACCAGATCTATCCTTTAAAAGCCATTTATTTTTTAGACATTTTTTGCGGTGGTGGGGGAGGGGGTCCTTTCTATAAAATGGATGAACACTTCGGGGAAAAAAATCGTAGGAAGTTTTATCTGAAAAAATATACCTGGATACTCAGTCGTGACATCATGCAAAGGGCCTTCATACACACACACACACACACACACACACATTTCACACACACATACACATTTCACACACACATACACATATCTACTCCCTCTCCATCACTCCTTCCATTAAATCTAGTCAAAATACATCGTCATCATTACATCATTTCTAACCGTGTCCAATTTCGCTATAATAGTACTTTATTATTTGTCATCTTCATTCCATTTAAGAGTCTTCCCCAGCTACCTTTGATCTACACTACTACTATAGAGCTTGACTAGGCTATTGATCCACCTCTCGTTTTATACACAGGTGATATACAGTAATTCATGGGACACTTTTACCTGCCCAAGTCAATCACTGTGTTAAGAAAATGGTTCGTTTTTATTCCTTCTCTCTTGTTTATCCCTTTCTCCTTTCCATTTTGTTGTGTCTCGCTTTATTTTTCTTTCCTTTCTTGTTTGTCGTCCTATTTTCTTTTCTCCATCCATCCTTTCTCTTCTGCCTCCATTCCTCCTTCAATCTTTGTTCTTTTTCCTTCCCTTTTGCTCCTCCTCCCTCCCTCCCTCCCTCCCTCCCCCAACACGACACATACACACGGTAACGATTCACACATGTTCACGTATGTCAATTAGGGATGCATTTGGTCTTTCGTCATTAATCAACGGTGAACTAATTGCACCTTTTACTCTTTAACTGCCGCTAATTGGAAATAATTATCGTTTATATGAAAGAATTTATCGTTTAATTCTCACCCGATTCATTAAAACGAAATTTTAGTTTAATTCAATAAAAAAAAAACACTTTTGTGTTTAAATGTTGGGCGTGTTTTGTGTGACCCTGTGTCCGTGATGGTCATTGTACTCAGGGGATAGTCATTGTACTCAAGGGATAAAATCATTGTAATCCAGGGATTAAATCATTATACTCAAGGGATAAAATTATTGTACTCCAGGTATTAAATCATTGTACTCAATGGGTAAAATCATGGTACTCAAGGGATAAAATCATTGTACTCAAGGGATTAAATCATTATACTCAAGGGATAAAATCATTGTACTCAAGGGATTAAATCATTATACCCAAGGGATTAAGTCATTGTACTCTAGGGCTTAAACCATCATACACCATAACAAAAACACACTACGTACTCAAGAGGTTAAGAGTACATACAGTATTTCAATAACTTCTTCACCCTTAAATTGAAAACACTTCAGTAAATCAACCTTTATCAATAGAACAATCTACGTAATGTGTCTTGTCTCCGATCATTTGTTTTGCTGTCACGTCTTCTGCTATTGTTCTCCCGTGTGGTGTTCTGAGGCAGAGATGGTGTTCGTCAGGGTGTGGATGTTGTCTTTAACTCTCCCTTAGGTTCCTCTCTCCCTCAGAATGGCAACAATAACTGCTACCACTATCACTTGACACACACACACACACACACACACACTCTCTCAAATAGATGTCTTCTTTAATGAGGATTAATAATAATTTCAAGGATTATTTGTAATTATGTTCTATATAATGTTTAACCAGTTTTTATTTTATATCGTTCATATTATTTATTTCTTCGTCTTTCATTCGTCTAATCTTTGTTGCTCGTTAATTTTTTTTTTTTGTTTTTTTATTATTTTATGTCCTATAATGATAATATTTAGTACACATTATAGTAAACTAGATTATTGTGTGTAGTAATTCTTTATCTTGTGACATAAATAGAAATTAATAATGCTGGTTATGTTAATCCTAGCAACTGTGGTACTCTTAAAGCATTATGGTAAGTAGTATTGTGAATAAGACTTTAATGATGGGTTAGGATAATAGAAGGATTACTAGTTGTTATAATACACAAATAAATGTCATTATTTTTTGTATTTTTTTATTAAACCAAATGACTGAATCAAATGACGTAAATATAAAATTTTTAATTATTTTATGTTAAAAATTTTTCTTCCTAACAAAAAGTTCTTGTTTGTTGTTTATTAAGAGGAAAATAATGATACGTGAATTTTTTTTCTTGTAAAGATAAAAAAAATGCTACAACTGACCTTTGACCTTGATGAATTATGGTCAAGGTCACAGAGTAAGTGTTGACAGGTCAGAGCAGAATGTTAGAATGTAGTTTGTATTGTGGTCATGGGTAGTGCCAGTCATCAGTAGTGCCAGTCATCAGTAGTACCAGTCATGAGCAGTGCCAGTCATCAGTAGTACCAGTCATAAGCAGTGCCAGTCATTAGTAGTGCCAGTCATAGGCAGTGCCAGTCATTAGTAGTGCCAGTAGTGCCACGGTGACCTTCATCATGTGACGTCAAGACCATGTTTTGATACATTACAAAGCTCGGTGTTTGCTGTTTGTTGAGGCCAAGTTCTCCGATATTGTTTTCATCTGGACTAATGAATGTGTTTGTTTTTTTCATTCAGTAAAGCATTAATTAAATGTAATATGGCGGCCAGTATTGTATCAAGCACCATTAATCTGGATAACAGGATTTTCATTTAATTTGGCATATTACGGAGGCTTTATTGTTATGTTTTGAACACTTTCCCAGACTGACCAAACTGTTTTTATTATTATTATTGTTATTATTATTATTATTATTATTATTATTATTATTATTATTATTATTATTATATTGTTCTCGTGAAAATAATAATAAATTTTTTTGTACGTATGTTAGGTAAATATATTTTATGCAAAGAACAGACTTACCATTGACTTTTTATTGTGTGTGAGAGAGAGAGAGAGAGAGAGAGAGAGCCTGCTGGTCATCCGTCCGTCACTTGTACGTGAAAACAAACTTGCGTATAATTATAATTAGACACATTATACAACACTGTATAATCACCTCCCTCACGTGCCCTTCTCTACTCTCGTGCAGGTACGTGTATGGCTGTGAACGGACGCTGTACGTACAGGAGGTAACACAGGCCGACGCTCACGCCTCCTTCATGTGTCGTGTGAGGCATCGGGCCGCTCACACACCCATCACGAGCCCTCCCACCTCCCTCACCGTTCTAGGTAAGTTACTCCTGCATCTTCACCACCCCTGTCTCACGCACCTGGGGGAAGTCACATATATACCTCACTCACCTGGGGGAAGTCACATATATACCTCACTCACCTGGGGGAAGTCACATATATACCTCACTCACCTGGGGGAAGTCACATATATACCTCACTCACCTGGGGGAAGTCACATATATACCTCACTCACCTGGGGGAAGTCACATATATACCTCACTCACCTGGGGGAAGTCACATATATACCTCACTCACCTGGGGGAAGTCACATATATACTACCTTGTCCTACCTGTCCCGAAATTAAGATGGACTCAATTAGTTGATTTAATTGATTTTTAAACTGTATTAATGTGTTGGGAAGAGCCATTGATCCACCCAATTTAGCTCTGAGTATCATGTGAGTCAATAACCTATAGCTTAAGGGGGTTTAGATACTTGTTTTATTACCTTTTCCCCCCTTGCTTTCGTCTCTTGTTTCATCCCCTCGTATTTTTTTTCCTTTCCCCATCATTACTTCCCCTCTCTTTCTCCTTCCATCCGTTTCTCCTCTTCTAATATCTCATTTTTCTCCTCACCTCCTACCCTCACTATCTCCCCTCACTCCTCACTATCTCCCCTCACTCCTCACCATCTCCCCTCACTCCTACCCTCACCATCTCCCCTCACTCCCACCCCTCACTCCTCACCATCTCCCCCCACTCTCACTCCCTCACCATCTCCCCTCACTCCTACCCTCACCATCTCCCCTCACCCTCATTTCTCACATCCATATTTCTCCTTTTATTTTCACCCTCAGTCCCCTCTTCCACCCCATCCCTCTTTCTCTCCACCCCTCAGTTATTCTCACTCTCTCCCTCCACTTCCCCTCACTGCCATCCTTCTCCTTGTACACTTGTCTCCTCTTCCTCCCTCTCCCCTCACCCCTCTTCCCTCCCTCCCCTTTACCATATTAAGGGACCGCCCTCGGGTTCCCCTCGTGTAATTGGTGACTATGACAACGACCCTTGATGTTCCCCTCACTGACCTGATGGACTTATTTCATGGAAGCTAAATTTGATGTTAAGTGGTGGAGGTGAGGTCAGGTGGCCTTGCTGTCCCCTCACACTGAATTATAATGGACTCACGAAATTATATCAAAGTATAATGAAGGCTTATTTAGTCTTATTTATGTATATACCTTAAAGTGAATAGATTATTTTGGTCGTTTTGTTATTTATTTATATATAATAATTAGACTCGCTGTATTTTGGAGATCATATATGCGATGGTTGTTTTTTTTTAATTTATCAGTAATTTATGTAAGGTTTAGATCAGTCTAGGAGTGCGATGGTCAAGTGGATACAACGCTCGTATCCTGTTCCAAGTGTCGGTGGTTCAATTCAAGGGAGCTCTCAGTTCAACCATGCTGTAAATGGGTACCTAAGTGAATGCGGTCGAATGCTGTACCGGCCCATGCTGCCTCCTTGTGTACTGAAGGCTTAGTATACAGTGTGGTGTATCCATGCTGTTCCTAATGGGCAGTTATGCCTATGAGACCCTCTGTCACTTCAAGATCAGTATCAAATTTAATAGTTTTTCATTTGCATTTCTTACTGTATGTATCAAGTTGTTATGGTGTTGATGGTGTTAATTTACTACATTCCCTTCCATCAACCAATCATCATCCACATACCTTTGTCATTAACCAATCATCATCCACATACCTTTCTCATTAACCAATCATCATCCACATACCTTTCTCATTAACCAATCATCATCCACATACCTTTCTCATTAACCAATCATCATCCACATACCTTTGTCATTAACCAATCATCATCCACATACCTTTCTCATTAACCAATCATCATCCACATACCTTTCTCATTAACCAATCATCATCCACATACCTTTTCATCAGCCAATCATCATCCACGGTACTTACGAGTATGAAAACCTACAACATATGATTTTTTTATTAATTATCAAAGTCAGAAACGCTTTATACATCTTGTCATTCGCGCGTTAAAAAATAAATAAATAAATAATAGAAAAATAATCTGTGTTAGGATTCCCAGATAATAACACATTGTCTTCTCTCTCCCCAGCTGCGCCTGTTATAGATAGTCCACCTAGGATGGAGGCTGACCTGACGAGGATGTTGGAGGTGGTGGAGGGTCAACCATTCACCATCCCTTGTTTGGCCCATGCCCATCCTCCTCCACACTTCAGGTAGGTCCTTCCAGCCCCTTGCTTAAGTCACCCATCCATCTCCTGGTGGTGAAGCGGCCACAACACCATCTTCCACCAGACTGACCTCAATCAACCCTTCTGTCAGCCAGAGATTCGCCAGGTTGTCACGAACATCTCCTCTAGCAACCCACTGTACACACACACACACACACACACACACACACACACACACACACACACACACACTTACTTCCCTCTCACATCAACTCAACCACCACCACCACCACCACCACCACCACCGTTTCCATATCCTCTCCAGCGTGAGGTTAAGTCGACTATATTGTTACCACATCCTCTTCTTCCAGCACTCTGATTTAGTTAACATATCTCATCCCCACCTTGTATAGCTTCCAGTTTCCAGCAAGATAAATACGAGCTGACAGAGAGACCAATATCTGCCGGCCCTTCCACAAGACATTCTAAGAGCCGGTTGAAGTCATCCATCCAGGCGTCTGATTTGTGGTTATGACAGCAGCCATTTGTTCTTAACCCGGAAGCCATCAGCCATCTTAGTGGAGGGGAGGAGGAGTGTTAGGGAGATGAGGAATAAATATACGTTATGTCTCTCCTTATATCATGTTCTTGAGAAACGAGATATACGAGTAATTATCCTACCCTTCCTCCTCCTACTTCCAAGACGTGATATAATTGATTTGGTAAAGTTGGGGGGGGAGGGGGTGGTGTGGGTGGGATATATCGCCTTACCTCTCCCGACAAGCCTATCTTGCCGGGGTTAGATTTCCATTAGTGGCAGACAAGAGGATCTGTCTCGATCCCCTTCCTCCTCCTCCTCACCACCACACACAGACACACTCTCTCTCTCTCTCTCTCTCTCTCCTACACAAACGTCTAATATCACTTCCCCATCATGTCCTCCACAAGGTCTCTCGCGTGTTTACTTCGACAGGAATGACTTACAATTGAAGAGGTAAAGGAGATTGCATTGGAAGGTTTTATTTTAACACCTTGAACCTTCCTTCCCCCCCCCCTCGTGTGCTTCAGGTTCACATATATAAATAGATCAAGGTATAAAGTTAGGTTAATTAGTTGTTTTTTTTTCTTGTGTGTTAAGGGGTCTTTTATATGTGTAAGGTGTGAGGATGGGTAGAGGGTAGTGTTAGCTCATCAAGGAACAAGGTGGTGAGGGTGAGTTAGTCGTTGACCTACCTGCCTGTCTGTCTGCCTGCCTTCCTTCCTTCCTTCCTTCCTTCCTTCCTTCCTTCCTTCCTTCCTTATCTTACTACCAGACCAGCCAGCCAGCTTGTTGGTAAGTGGTGAGGATGAGTTAGTCGGCCTTCTACCCTCCCTTCCTCTCTCCTACTCTCCTTCTCTCCCTCCCTCCTTCCCTCCCTCCCTACCCACCAGACCAGCAGCCAGCCTCCAGCTAAAGTGTAGGTTGGTTGGGAGGGAGACGAGGGGGGGGGGCTAACAACAGAGGCTGAGTTAGGAATGGTATGGTGGAAGAGGGACACACACACTCACACACACACACACCTCCAGAAGACTCGTCAATAAACTTGTCAGCAACAGCCGCCCCGTGACTACCTGGCCGGGAAGAAGGGCGCCAGCCATCTCCCCGTGGGACTATATTGACTCCTCCGCTAAAGCAGGATTCCCAGGGAGGAGTTGTGGTGGCGTGGGGACCTGTGTGTTGCTGATGGTTGATGGAGAGGCTGAATATTTTTACCTGGTTGGGACATCGTTTTCTTCTGCGTATTTTAGGGGGATTTTTTCTTCTTTTTTTTTACCTTTTTTTTTTCATTTAAATTTTTAAGGCAACTTTTTTGTCTTTTTTAGATTTTATGTATTTTATTTTTTAACCCTTTTTTTAATTTATTTCATCTTGTACTTCACATTTTTCAGAGCCTTGACTTCACTTTTTTGTTACTGTAAATTTATAAGTTTTGGAATGTTGACTTTCTCACTATTGTTTATAATTACTGGAGGAAGATTATCATTTATATTTTTTAGGTCTATTTTGAAGCATTTATGGCACCTTTACCAGATGTTAGACTCACTTAATTATTTGGATCTTGTCGTTGTCCTCTCTAACACCACTTAACAACCAAATCACCTTGTTTGATCGATGAGGTACTTGGACACGACCTTGAGCTGTGACATACATAATAAGCAATATACAATTCTCATATATCATTTATTAACTGAATTTATACGTGGAAATTGGTCTTACAAACATCAAGACGGTCTCGTAGTTCGGTCAGGATTCGTTCAGCGGTCAATTGATGAAAGATTGTCACCTGGGGTTAGTCCACTATGTTTGTTTTCTACTTGCAATTTAATGTTTTTTTTGTAATCATAACAGAGGATTAACACCTACTCCGGGGAGGGGTTGGGAGGGACGGGAGGAGGGGTAGGAGAGGGGGGTGAGGAGGGGCAAGGAAGGGGAATTGGGAGGAGGGGAGGATGATTGGGATGAGGAAGGAGGGGAGGCAGGAGAAGGGGGAGGAGGTGCGTGGTGGCAGGGGTGAGGGGCGGGTAGAGAAAGGAGAGGGGCGGAAGGAAGGGTGAAATTCTTGAAGTTATGAGCTCTTAATTTCATCCTCTCACAAGCCCTTATAATTGGCTCTGATTCTGAGGTTATGATGCATGGTAACGAGGAGAGGGTCGTGGTAGAGGTGAATTGTAATCTACTGTGAAATCTCCATATAACGGATTCCGATATAACGGACTAATCTCTTATATATAATCCGCTAAATAGAGGTTTCATTGTACTTGATACTTATAGGGCATGACATACAGTCACTCATAAAAACTATCTGTACTTGGGGTGATCGATGAATTTTAGAATGAACACTACGACTCCTTTTGTCTCGGTAGGGTTGTCAAAATCTTTCGTCCGTTGTGTCATATTTTTCAACACAATTTTGTATAGATAGTTTTTTTTGAGTGTTCATTATGTAGAGATTATAATTGTATCTATCTATCTACTTATCTATCTATCTATCTATCTATCTATCTATCTATCTATCTATCTATCTATATCTAATACAAGTCTCTACCGGTGCTCTATTCTCTCTCAGATGCCTTACGTAAATCTCTCTCATTCTCTCTCATTTCAATAACACTTAATTGGCTTAACTTCAAGATGAGACACAAAGATGGCTGCTGGAATATAACGTTGGAAATTACCACTTAAGGCTGTAGGAAGCTTGAGTTCTCTGAGCCTTTGTTGATGTAATGACCATTGTTGGTGATTGATGTTGTCTTTATGTATGTGGATATGTTTAAAATGTGTAGTGTATGTTGATGGATTGTGATGGAAGAGTGTATGTGGAAATGTGTTGTGTGACGTATTTATTATAGAATGTTGATAGAAGCTTAAACAACTTAACCCTGTCTCCCTCCCCCCCTCCCATATTCAGGACTCATATGTCAATAATATATTACATTTCCTGTATAACTAAAGCACCAATTGATGATTTAATTCCTTAATATCGTCGTCAAGTACAGTACGTGAAGCCCAAATAAAGTTTTCTGTTGTTCACTCTAATAACAGAAGTAATGCCGTCTGTTGGATGTAAACATAATCACTGTTTCCTCTAGTTCATACCTGTATAGTCCATCATAATAATACTCAGGTAATACAGTAATATCCTTGTTTTATTATTACTCACATTCTAAAAAGTATCTTTGTGGAGGGATCCGATGCATTTCAAAATGAACACTACGACTCCTCTTGTCTCGGTAGGGTTGTCAAAATATTTCGTCCGTTGTGTCATATTGTCTTACGCAAAACTGTAGAGATACTTTTTTTGGGGGGCTTGTTGGTTGAAATAATACTCAGTAATATATTTCTCTCTCACTACCGCCATCTGTGGGACGTATACGACACTTAACTCTGTATTACGTGTTTTGTTATAAGTTGAATTTTTAGTTTATATAATCTGTTTATCTTCAGTTGTCAAGTTTATCTTAATAATGAAGAATTCAGGCAATTTTTTTAATACCTGATCGACTACCTCAGAGCTTAATGTTTACGTCTTGTCTGTGTGTGAGTCAGTGAGTTTGACTATGTGTGAGTGAGTGAGTCAGTGAGTTTGGATGAACATTCTGTAATACTGTGAACAATATTTATTAGTTTGCTGTAACGACTTTTATTCTTAATGCTAAAAGATGTTTGAGTTTATTTGTATTAACTGAACACGGATTTCTTTTATAACCATGGTGAAAACTTATGGTGAAAACTATGGTGAAAACTTATGGTGAAAACTATGGTGAAAACTTATGGTGAAAACTATGGTGAAAATAAGATGGAATGGCTTATACCTGGTGAAAAAAATAGGTGTGTTATTTATAATCAACCACAAGATGACAAGCGCCGGACAGATCAATAACCGGGCGGACAGGTAAAGTGACACCAATTACCCTTAGTTGTTAGTGTAGCCAGCGCAGGTAATATCTCTCTCTCTCTCCCTCTCTCTCACACACACACACACACACCCCCATTCCCCAAATATGTAACTGTATATTTTCAGCCTTCTGGCTGCCAAGCTCTTTCAATAAACCGTTAATTATTATTATTATTATTATTATTATTATTATTATTATTATTATACATACACACACACGTATATATATATACACACTACCACTACTTTGTCGTCAATCGGAATCGAGTATGACGATCATCCAGCTATGATACAATGATATGAGTTATTAAGGATGTCACCTTCATTGGTGAGTTTTGAGGTGACTAAAGAGGCCGATACGGGACCAGCAGAGTTGTTCACAGATGTTGCATATACGGACGGCTACATCGAATGCGGGGGGTGGGTGGGGCGGTGGCAGCGTCTTTCCGGCATTGGCGCTTGTCTGCCTCGGTTTGCAGTCGGGCTAACTCGAAGGTATTGACACCTTTTTGTGTGGCGCTCCTACAAGCGTTACGGTGTGGAGAAATCGTCTCCCAGGTGAGGGGGTCCACTTGGCACTTATTCAGGTTTGTCTTGAGACTATCCTTA